GCTCCTCTTCTCCCTGCCCAGCCACAGCTGTGTTGGCTGCCTGGCGCCCCTGTTGCCAATGGCGCCCTCACTCGCCCCATGGAAGCTACAGCCCTGATTACAGGCAGCGCTGCATCCAGCTTTTGACAGGTATTTAGGTTACACATCAGCGGGCTTCCCCACTGCTTGTGTAACCTAACTTGGTGAGGCAGGAGCTGTCACAGACTTTACTCTGTGTTAGAGGTGTGAGTTCTGTGGATGGTTTGGACCAATGGCAAGGTGCCATTGGTCCAAGCTGTCCAATCAAAAAAACAGTGAGGACATCGCTCTCGATGCCTCACCAGTGACGAGCAAGTGAGGGACAGGGAGCCCCGCCCCCATTCAGCTTGGTAAATAAAATATATATACACACACACACTTGATTTATACCAATAGATTCAGCCAACAATCTTTCTAATGCAGTGCACTTTGGTAACATGTACATCACTGCAGCACACATTACCATGCGTGTGCTACCTCAACACAGTGATGCACATTTTGTGTGTTAGCTTGTTGCAGTGCCATTCATTTTAAATGGCACCCCAATGCAGTAAAGCAACTCAGCTCCAACGCAAGTGTCCTTAGTGCCCCACAACGTCTAGTAATGCTCTTCCATGTGCTGCATTAAAAAAAAATTGTCTATTTTTTGGACATTTTGGTACGTAGCCAGCCCTTCCATATGACTGGTCTTACTAACGTGCAATAAAAAAATGCGTTAACGCACACAGTTTGAATGGACTCCTAACATTCTTTAAACGTAGCTGCTCCCACATATAATAATGTAGCGTGTTGCCATTGGTTTGGCTGGCTGCCACATTACATTGGACAGGTAAGGGGGTAACCTCATGTACACGAATAGAGCACCCACGCATGCGCAGACAATCCATAGTCTCTCCATAGTAGACGCGACGTAGACATAACGTCGGTAGCCATAAGCTAGGAAGAGTTTCTGCGCATGCGTGCGGCATCTTTCCGTAGCCTCGCAAAGCGTGATGGTGGTGAACTGAGCATGCGCCGACGCCATTTTCTTGAAGATTTACATGGCGCTGCTCCTGTGAGGCGGAACAGAACAGTGCACAGCAGGCGGAGGGAAACAGGTATTCACAAATGTATCCCTTTACCTCCTAAACTTGCCTTTTTCCTGTAGGATCCCCCATTACGCCTGGGCAACCACCAATGGAACGTCCCCCATGCCCCATTACTGGCGACAGCCGATGGCATAGCCGGCAGCATTTTGTAAACATTTCCTCTCAGCTTCTCTTTCCATTTGTGTCAGCCACATTAAGAGACCCTGTCACTGATTTAACAGATTGCAGGTAAAACAGAAAAATCAAGTATTTGGGCTCATGCACACGGCATATTTCCTCCCACCAGGCTGCTACAAGTGCTGACTACAGACTCCCATAGAAGTCAATGGCAGTACATGCGTTCACGTGGGTGCATGCGTACAGCTGCGTATGCGCTCAGATTTACATCCCCGGACGCAGCTTCTGAGCAGCTGCAGTCTCAGGGCTTTTTGATATCTAGGCAGAGGAGGCGTTTACAGTTAAATGACATGCATAAGATACGTCAAATGCACATTTTTTAAAAACAATAATCTGGTGACAGGGTCTCTTTAAGGAACACTATTTAGCCAATCATAACGACTATGGACATTCTCACGCCAGTAGGTCAAAATAATTTGCTGCTGATTTATTTCTTTCATTTTCAATTTCCTGAGCTTTTCACAATTCTAGGGTGATTGCCCTATTCCAGACGAATTTGAGAAAATGAAATTACCCCCAGCAATCTGCCCCTTCTCCTTTCCCCCTGCTCTTACCTGTCAATGAGCTCTCCTTCCCCACCCTGTACTAAGAAGTATGTGCTAAGACGCTCTTCTCATTGGTCAGAAGCTCTTCTCATTGGTCAGAAGCTCTTCTCATTGGTCAGAAGCTCTTCTCATTGGTCAGAAGCTCTTCTCATTGGTCAGAAGCTCTTCTCATTGGTCATCGCGGTCAGAAGCTCTTCTCATTGGTCAGAAACTCTTCAAATTGGTCAGCGCTGAGCAAAGAGTGCTTGCCATTTGTGAGTAGAATTAAAACTAGCCACCGCAGGGCTGCGCTGCTGTGTGCAGTGTATGATCGTACACCGGCAGCCGCGGAGGGGAAGGAGCATTAATTGACAGGTAAGAGCAGCGAGGCGTGGGTTTTTTTTTTGGAGGGGATGATTCCATTTTCCTAAACTCGCCTGGGAAAGTGGAATTACCCTTTTAAGGGCAGCTGAAGCCAACATTTGTATTTTTTTAGTTTTGGATACAGTGGGGAGGGATTAGAACTCCTGTCGGGTTTTCATAGCTGTCTGTGTTCCCATTGGTAAGATTCACCCTCTCTTCTTATCCTGGTGACTGTATCAGTGAAAGAAAATCCCAATTTTTGGCTTGTCATCAGAACAGGAATAGATGGGAATCTTCCATTGGGGACACTAGTTCTGGTGACCCTTCTGACCACCAGGGATTTCCCTCTCTTTGGAGGGATTTCCTCTCACATCCTGTCGTGACTATTGGACAGGAAGTGAAGGGAAATCTCCCAAGTGGCACAGAGGTTATAGGCTTCCCTTACTCTATGCAAAACTTTTAAAAAAATGTTTTGGCTTCAGCTCTACTTTAACTCTCGTGAATGGTTTGCTTAAAGAGACCCTGTCACCATCTTCTACCCTGACAGCTAAGCACAGGCAGGCGATTCACATTATGTGAACTTACAGTAGTCCTGCCTATTGCAGCAATATGAGGTTCGTAAGGGGAGGTATCAGCCTCACAATTAATGAAGAAAAGTCCCCCTTGTGGTAATAAAGAAATGGTAAAAAGCCTGACTGATGAAACCCCTCAGGAGCGACTGCAGGAACTTTAAGCTGAATTTCAGTAAAACATGTTTTCTTACACAGCACTAGGCGTGTAACATACCTGTAATAACATGTATGCTATGTGTGGGGGGCTGCTGTATACTCTAAAAATCTTATGTTGGAGCACACTGGCTCCCAACGCATAGTTTTTGGCTTCCCGGTGCTGCAGGAGAGCTAGTTGGCCAAAGTTGTAAAGGGCTCAAATCACATGCGTTCCCCCTCCTCACTCCTTGTCCATTCACAAAGTCATGTATTTTTATCACAGAATACAAGACGTTTTGTGATTTGAGCACGAGAGGAGGTGATGGGTATGCACCATCATGCATTCACAGCTCCATTCACAAAGTTCTGTAACTGGGAAGAATACAAGTCCTGTCTGCCACTGCAGCAGAGGGAATCACAGTATTTACTTCCTCCAGTCCCATGACAGGTCTGTAACTCTGTGTGGACCTGTGGCTGGGAAGTTTGCAGGAGACCACATTGTACTCATCATGGTTGCAATGGTCTGCAGGCTTCAATGCAAAAATGTAATAAATGTATTTTTATTATTATAGGTATTTATATAGCGCCGACAGTTTTTATGCAGAGCTTTACATACTGTATATACACGTCAGTCATTCCAGGAGCTTACAATATCCCTATCTCACTAGGGCTGCAACAACTAATCGACATAATCGATTATAATCGATTATTGAAAAAGTTGTCAACTTTTTCAATAATCGATTAATCGGCTTCTGATTGGTCGGCCCTGTTCACGGCTCCACACACGCTGCGCGTCACACCTCCTCCCCAAAGTACTATTGCTGGGATTTGTTGTATTCTTCTATAGCTGGTGGTATTCTGCATTGTTCTGTATAATGTACTATTGCTGGGTTTTGTAGTCCTCTATAGCCGGAGCCATTCTGCATTCATTGCTGTATAATTTTACACTTTTCATTTCACTATATTGCACACCACACTTTTTTTTTTTTTTTTTTTACTTCCACCGCTCCAAGCTTGCTCCTGTGATGGACTGCAATCTCAATACAAACTAGTAGTCCCATCACCGGAGCCATTTTTAAAAATGTATTTTATTTTCTATCCGATTAACCGATTAATCGAACTTAATAATCGGCTAACTAATCGATTTTGAAAATAATCGTTAGCTGCAGCTCTATATCTCACATTCATTCATACATACAGGGCCCTGGTGGGCGTGCATTGAACTAAAGTAATGCATGCATGTTTTTCAGTGCCTGCCTAGAGGTGGATTAGGGTGCCAATTCCTGTCATTTCATGATCAATGAAACGTCAGTAGGCGTTTTTATGATGAAGATTTTGGTGTGCTGGTGAGTTACTCTCCAGTCAAATGAATGGCAGCGCAATGCACCAGTGCATCTAGCATGTGGTGCATTGTGCTGTGCTATAGCGTGTGGCAAATTTACAGAAAACGTGCCTCTAGCACAATGCTATGGTGTGAACCGATCCCTACTTTTGTAGGGTGACAAGCCTGCTCCTCCATAGAAACAGCACCGGGAGTATGCGCTGTCACGCAGGAAGTTTGGTTACTGTTAAGATAACCAGGTGAAAATAAAATAAAGCCTGGAAAAAAAATACTGGGTTTTTAATACGTTTTTATATACGTAGCTCTAAATTCAATACGCAAAATCTCATACTAGTATTTACCATGTTAATGTAACTCCAAGGTTGTTGTGTCTTTTTAAATCTGCAGCTTTCATTAAAAAAATACCTGGTGATCCTGCCTTGAAGGTCCTTGTTTAGGCACTTCCTGTTATGGGGTGACAACGCTCTGTCCCTGTCTCTCAGTTGTGCTCCTGTATTGTTACTCGGTCACATACTTCTCTGGTGAATACTATAAACAGCCGTTCTGATAGATATTGTGCAGGAATGGTCCGTTGTTGCCCCTTCCCTCAGCTTCCAATCCACTAACAATAACCCTGCCCTGGTATTCCCTCTTCCCACTTCTTTTCATCATTCCACTCGGGGATAGCTAGATTCCAGGATCCAGGTAACCAGATAATTCATATCTCTTGCCTGCAAACTTAACAAATGCAAACTTGTGTTTTTTTTCTTTTTCCCCCCTAGGATACATGCATAAGAAGTGATCAATATGGCTGCTCCAGGAAAACAGTAAGTAGTGATAAGAGTACAGTTCACGCTACACTTTTTAGTTTCTTGGAACTGAGTATTGTGTCATAGGGTATATTCTGTGTTCTATACCTGATGTTTTTTCCCTTAGGGCCTGTTCACATGATATCAGGTCCTGATCAGGTGCGGATCTGCAGACTGATGCAGTGCGTTTTAGCCACGTTTTTGCTGCGTTTTGGTCGCATTTGTGATGCGTTCCAGTTAAAAAAAAAAACTTTTTTTTTTTTGGGCTGGAGTGGTGCTTTTAGTATGTTAGTTGCAGTGCAGTGCGTTTTTGACGCGTTCTGGACGCGTTTGCGTTTCCTGACCGTACAAAATGTGACATGCAGTATTTTTCTGTCGTAACCTGAACGGACTGCGCACGTGAGAACTGGAGCTCATAAAACACATAGGGATACATTGGGATGCATTTTGAGTGCAGCAGCGTACGGATCCGGTCAGCACACAAAACGGACGTCGTGTGAACAGGCCCTAAAAGTAAACCTGTCATGAGATACACATGGAGGTTGCCATTGCTGACCTGCTTCTGAAAATCCCAGCTCTGCGGCTGTCATACTGACTGACTGGATTCAATACTTTTTCAGTCACTGACATGGAATGAGAATAACATTTTTTTGTTTTTGTTTTATGGGAAGAGTGGTGAACAGTTAGAACCACTGTCTGGTTTTTATTGCTGTCTGTGTACCTAGTGGTTCTCATGGAAGAAAGTAACGGGAGGTCCTTCCACTGGTAACAGCATTACAGACCTGACTAGCTGTAGTAGTTAGCCTGGATTGATCCTAAAAATGATTGTAAACAAAGTACTTTTTTCTTTACGCTGCATAAATATGCATTACAGTGTCTATGGCACAACTCATTGAGAGACTTTGCAGCTCTGGCAAGAGCCTTTGGGACATTTACCACCTCACAGTTTTTATGTCTACTATTTGCTCTTGTCTCTCTCTTCTACCTTGCTGGCAGTAGGAGTTTTATAGCAGACCTTTTCTCCCTAAACTATGAAGTATTACCATAATGCAGTACAGTATGCCCTTCCAAAAATGTCATAAAAGTCATTTGTCAAATCAAAACCTTTAGAGACACTTACATTCCCCCCCCCCTATTTCCTCATTTCTCTGATGTACCGGTGACATAGCCCTGGCCTCACTGGTGCCCCCTGTGTAGGACACGCCACCAGTGGCTTCCAGGAAAATCTCACCGGAGATTAAAGGATAACAAGGCGCACCAGATGTTGTATGGTGCATGCACTGTATGAGACCCGGAGCGGTTTGTTATCCTGCAATAACGAGCCAATGCAGATTTTGAATGGTGCATGTCCGGCACACCACCACTGAAGTTTAAAAATGGCGCTGCAGGATGTAGAGCCCAGATGTAAAGGACCTGTGGGAAAAGGGGGAATAAAAAAAAAAAAGATGCATGTTCCTATTTGTAAGTTTATTTGCTTGTATACATTTATGTAGTGTGGACAGTTTATTAAGGGAGGGGGGATGGGGTGCTTTAATGCCCCTTTCCTAGCAGACATGCACTTGATGTGGACAATACTTTGATCACAATCATTGTTTAGTTGTGCTGACTTTTGGCAGTTTGTTTAAAGCTGAACTCCAGGCACGCAGTTAAATACAGAGATGCATACATATAAGGAAACTGTTTTACCCCCAATGGATTTGTATTTCTGTCCATCCGTTCCTGAATTTTACACAACTCTGCCCCACAGCACAGGCTTGTTTTTTCCCTGCTGCAGTTAATAACATATACAGGTCTTGTCCACAGCCTGTGACTGCACAGTGAAAAGAGATGGAGCAGATTGGTGAACGGATGTCTCTGCCACTCTGTCTTCTCATATGTTTCTTGCACTGCAGCACAACTGTCTGACTCCTTGTGCTGTTTCTCCCCTGCCCCTCCTCTCCATCTGAGTTCTGCTGTAAAGGAGAATGCAAGAGTCTGATACCAAGCCACATGCAGGTACCTACCCTGCTACATTTAGGAAAATACATTTAATGATGTACAGTGGTACCTCGGTTCACGAACGCTTCTGTTCGCAAACAATTCGTTTTGCGAACAGGAATTTCTGCAAAATTTTGCTTCCAATCGCGAACTCCACAACCGCAGCCATCTTCCCTGCTGTGACACATAGTCATGGCTTCCTCTAGTCGAGATCGCGTTCTGATCACAGTTTGATTCGGTTCGCGACCAGAATTGTGGAACGAATTAAGTTTGTGAACCGAGGTTCCACTGTATTAAAAAATTCTCTTTTTTGGTCGTGTGTGTGTGTGTGTGTGTGTGTGTGTGTGTGTGTGTGTGTGTATATGTGTAATATAGATAGATATATGTATATATCTATCTCACTTAGTATATGGAATATGTTCTTTGAGCTGTCAAAGGAGAAGCTTAAAGCACTTGTGTTATCTGTGACACATTTTTTTTAGTGCTGAAGACAATGTTGTGACTTTTTTGTAAATAAATGATAACATTAATAATAAACTGAATCTATTCCCAGAAAATACTTTCTGTATACAGGGGTGTCTTAATATACATGACATTGATAAGCAGTTAAGTATACACCAGAGCCTTTACATTCACAATAGCTTCAGGAGAGCTCTGCATGATGGGAAGTCTAAAATTGGTTTTATGTTGAAGTGGATGTTACGAGTCAGATCTGAGACTCAAAGTGAATCTCCAAAGCTACCCCCACTAATATAATACTAAGTCCATTTTACCTAGGAATTCCTCATTCTGCACAGATTCATTGTATAGCCGGGTGGATGCCATTAACATGGCACTAGTGCACCTAGATAGCACTGAGGAATATAGGAAATTTCCTTTATGCTTCAGCGCCATGAAGGGGCGCTAGTGCCGCATGAACGGCATAGCTGGGCGGAGCTTTTATAAATGAACTCCTATTTCATATAGTTTTAGACTGGTAAGGATCCTGTTTTTCAGCATTTTTGTTTTCCAGGAACATGCCTTGAAAGTGGAAAAATTGATTGTGAAATGTGGTTTATTTATGTTCCAGTCTAAGACAATTGCCAAATATTTACATCTGTATCATCTGTGTAACAGGTATGGACTTATTTTTCCCAAGAAGCTGCAACAGAAAAATATTTTTGCTCCCAAACACTCAGCATTTGCTGAAGACTCTGATGATGAGGTAAGTGTTATTTATTTAGCAGCTGCCTATTTGTCTCATCTGTCTAAATCGCTGTATTTCATCCTTACTTACCCATCTCATGCATATTGCTGCCTATTGTGGAGCCTATTAAATGAAACGCCAGCCAAATGTTTAATTTTAGGGCAGAACTCCAGGAATCGGCTACATACACAACTGAAATGATTAGTTTTACCTTCCAGTGAGTTTGTAATCTTGATCTACTAGTCTTGTGACCCAGACACCTCTGTCAGACAGGACTATGTGTAGATTGTACCCTAGTGGGACAGGACAAAGTAACGTCGCACTGATGAGGTCTCCTCTCTTCTAAGCATTGCCTCACATAGCACTGTGCAAAGCAGTAGAGCTCATTTGCTCCGAATGCTTACCTTCCCTCTTTCAGCCTCGATGTTGTTGTCCATGGATCACAGGAAACTAATTTCAGAAAAGATCCAGGTACTTATGCTAGTAATATGTAAATATACATTTACAGGGTTATTCACAAAAGGGTGAAGAGTTTGGAGAGGGCAGGAGAAGTGAACAATCTAGGACAATATACCATGTTTTCCCGAAAATAAGACCTACCTAGCAAGCAGTAGATATATGCGCATTTCAGATTTTCGGCCGGGAGACGAGGAGAGATACAAGGTAAGTCTATGGACAGCGTGCACCCGCATGCAGACACCATGGGACAGGAAGTGCCAGCAAGGACAGAGGAGTCATCGCTGGATCAGAGAGCCGCAGCAGCGCTGGAGAGAAGGCTGAAATCAGCTGGAAAGAAGATCGGATTAAGAGACATCATTTAAGGTAAGTGCTGACACTAACATTGGGGGGAGGAAAACATTTGTGATGCTTTAATGTCGCTTTAACCACTTGAAGACCGCGGTGTTTCACCCCCTTCCTGGCCAGGCCATTTTTCAGTATTCAGGGCTGCGGTACTTTGGCTGACGTTTATTCCGTCATGCAGCGCTGTACTGAAATTAATTTTATACCATTTTTTGGGGACAGATAAAGCTTTCTTTTGGTGGTATTTAATCACCGCTGGGGTTTTTATTTTTTACTATATAACAAAAAAAGTACCCTAAATTTTGTAAAAAAAACATGTTTCCCTATAAAATGTTATGAAACATTTATTTTCACCCCAATTTTTTGGTACAATATAAAAGCCGGGGTCACGTCAGGTAAATAGACACTAAATATGTCAACCTTTAAAATTGCGCGCGCCCGCGAAATCGCAGAAAACGACCGCAACCAAAATTGGCCATAGGCGACACTTTAAACGTTTTTACCGCTCATCAGTTTAGTGTTATCAGTGATTGATGGCCATAAAATTATTGCTCTCACTCCGACGTTCGCGGCGATATGTAACATGTGCTGCATAATAGGCAAAATCGTCGTTTTCGTACATAGGCGCACCCGAAGCATGTTTGCATGTGGGGGTGCGGGGGACTTTAAAACATTTTTTATGTAATTTTTTTAAATTATTATTTGTGAATATTTTTTTTTTAGCTTCTTAATTTTTTTTAATGCTGTGATTTTTTTTTTTTTAACTTTTTTTAGACAACTTTATTGCTATAACATAAGAAATTATATACTATAACATTAAGAAATCCCCTATGTAATAGCCAGTTCACCAAACAGGTCCTCTTTATGGAGACATCAGGGGTCTCCAAGACCTCTGATGTCACCTAGGGACCCCCACAACTGCTGTCAGCATTGTAGCACTTAAGATCCAAGACTATCCATGCACTGCTGTCATATGCTACCTTTTAGGCCTTGTTCACACAAAATGCAGAGCAGATCCGGTTGTGCCGAGTTTTTTGCCGTGTTTTTGATGCATTCCGGGCCATTTTTGGTAAAAAAAATAAATCATTTTTTAGTTTAACACGGGCTGTCAGTGCGTTCCAGGCACTTGCATGCATTTTTGATGCGTTTGAATGCGTTCCAGAGCAGATAAAATAGGGCTTGCTGCAGTTTTTTCACCTGCTCTGGAACTGCACGCTGCGATGTGAACTAGAGCCCAAAATACCATTGGAATACATTGTTTTTCTTTTTGTTCTGCATCAACGACAATCCAGCAAGATAAGTGAGACTTCCCCTGCTGCTGCAGTAAGGAGTGAAAGAGCAGAGAGCCCAAGAAATGTATATTTAACCCCTTCGTGACTGACGACGTACAGTGTACGTCGCCAGCATCGGGATTCAACTTAAACATCAGTTTTGGGTGTAACTGACCCTTGACAAAGTGGTTTTAACATTGTAACATTCAATATTAGTCAAGTTTTCATTAAATTCTGCCTACATGAGTTCTAGATCAGTTAATCTGATATTAAGACATGTCGGCCCAAATGCCAGCATATAAAATCTGCTGTCAGTCTGCAGAAGCCTTTTCCATTTGATGTCAGTGTGCACTGCTAGCACAGCACTACATTTAAAGAAGTTCTAAAGTCCCAGCATATCCTCTCCTGTTATAACATCAGCATTGTAATAGGAATACATACTGGAGTTGTTTTTGATATTGCAATCAAAGCTTACATGAAAAAAAATCCCATTTATGTAGTGAGTGCCGCCTTCCGTCTGCCCATCACTTTCATCAACTTTCTGGATTCCCAGTGTGCTATGTCTCTTTCCCTGATGCTTGATGTGATGCAATTTCGATTTCTCAGTACTACATATCCCATCATGCATTGCTTTTAGCAAGCAATTATGTTACATTGTTCAGACATTGAGTTGTATTTCAGACGGCAGGCTCTGAGTGTTGTGACACAATGAATTGCATAGTTACAGGGCTGAGTGAAATTATGTCAGTGCATTGAGGAAGTACACTCACCGGCCACCTTATTAGGTACACCTGTTCATTTGCTTGGTAACACAAATTGCTTATCAGCCAATCACATGGCAGCAACTCAATGCATTTAGGCATCTAGACGTGGTGAAGACGACTTGCTGAAGTTCAAACCGAGCATCAGAATGGGGAAGAAAGGGTATTTAAGTGACTTTGAACGTGGCATGGTTGTTGGCGCCAGACGGGCTGGTCTGAGTATTTCAAAAACTGCTGATCTACTGGGTTTTCATATATAACCATCTCTCAGGTTTATAGAGAATGGTCTGAAAAAGACAACATTTCCAGTGAGCGCCAGTTGTGTTTATGAATATGCCTTGTTGATGTCGGAGGTCAGAGGAGAATGGGCAGACTGGTTCGAGATGATAGAAAGGCAACAGTAACTCAAATAACCTCTCGTTACATCCGAGGTATGCAGAATACCATCTTTGAACGGGCAACACATAGAACCTTGAATCAGATGGGCTACAGCAGCAGAAGACCACACCGGGTGCCACTCCTGTCAGCTAAGGACAGGAGACGGAGGCTACAATTCGCACAGGCTCACCAAAATTGGACAATAGAAGATTGGAAAAACGTTGCCTGGTCTAATGTCTTCATTTCAGCTGTGACATTCAGATGGAAGGGTCAGAATATGGCGTAAACAACATGAAAGCATGGATCCATGCCTGGGGGAGGGGGTACTTTATTGGCACACTTTGGGCCCCTTAGTACCAATTGAGCATCGTTTAAATGCCACGGCCTACCTGAGTATTGTTGCTGACAATGTCCACCCCTTTATGACTACAGTGTACCCATCTTCTGATTACTACTTCCAGCCGGATAATGCACAATGTCACAAAGCTCGCATCATGTCAAACTGATTTCTGGAACATGATAAAGAGTTCGCTGTACTCCAATGGCCTCCACAGTCATCAGATCTCAATCCACTAGAGCACCTTTTGGGATGTGGTAAAACGGGAGTTTCGCATCATGGATGTGCAGCAGACAAATCTGCAGCAGCTGCGTGATGCTATCATGTCAGTATGGACCAAAATCTCTGAGGAATGTTTCCAACACCTTGTTGAATCTATGCAATGAAGAATTAAGGCAGCTCTGAAGGCAAAAAGGGGTCCTACCCGATACTAGCAAGATGTACCTAATAAAGTGGCCGGTGAGTGTGTGTCATATGGGCATTTTCAATAAGTACGTTTACAAACTTCTGGATTGATATGATTATTAATAATGGGTTAGAAATGACAGAAATTCAATCTAGAAATAATTATTTTTTTTTTAATACCCTTTTAAGATGGAAAAGTGATTATAGTGTCTCCTAACATAAAGATGCATCCCAGGGATGTTAGATGTCAGAAGGAAGAAGAAAAAAAGAGCAGCAATAGCACTAGTGCAGAACAGACTTTCTGATTGGCTACGCTCTCGATTTTACCCTCCGTTTATTTATTTGAATACTAAAACAAATGTAGGGCTCTATTCTAAGTGAAATCTTATTAAAGAGCAATATGTACATTAGAGTTTGACTATATACTTTTACCATGCAGAAAATTTTACAATTTAACAGAAATTAGGTTTATAAGACATCTACACATGGTAATAATGTTTGTATTAGACTGACCTTGTTTTATACATTTTATTTTTTTTTAATATAAAAAATTAATGTAAAGATAATGGATTCATTTAAAAGCTTATTTCAGGGCAAAAAAACCATATACAGTACATCTCTGCACTAGTACTACTTTACTACAGCCACATTTTCCCTGTAAAGATCCTGCAAGTAATAGTTTGGGTGGAGTAAACGGTGTCAGCACTGCCCAGGTGTCTACACTACTCAATCCCACCACCCATCCTATTCTTCACAACATAGAGACTAAGCATTCTATTGTCCCTAGTAGGGTTCTTTAGACTCCTTGAGATAACGAAGTAGGTGTGTATGACACAGGACAGCTCTGAATTTCCGACGTGGTTAAAAAGATTTTTTTTCTTTCTTCTTTGCACGTATTATTTCATCATAAAGACAGAGATTACCAGCACTCAGCCAAAAGCATTCAATTATCTTGCTTATTTGTTGAAGAAACATGTCACAAGCGTCAATTAGCCAACGTTTTGGGGCCACGCAGGGTCCCATCTTCAAAGCGACATAGTGAGCCTCTGCACTTCCCATATACAG